GATACATTTTCAGAAGTCTTGATGCTGACATTGTTCAGTTGATTTGGCTATCTACCGTGCTATTCCTACCGTGACTTGCGCCTGGATTTATACTTGCTCCCGGTCTACCTCTGTTGACCATTTTCTACGTGTCGACCAATGAGAGCCGACACCGTGAGATACAACGTCGTTTACACTAGAGGAGGCTTAGCCTCATAGCTTCTCTCGCTATTCAAGACCGTAGTGATAAAAATATTCGACATATCACACTATAAGAGCTAGAGAGAAAATTAGGGGGGCAGCGATCTGCCAAGCCGATCCTTCAGCGAACACTGACAGGTTTCACGACTGTTGATTGGCTGCCACGTAGCTTTTGAACATGGCTCAGCCCCGAGTAATCCATCTATATACCGTAGCACATATAGCCTTACTTACGACGACCAAAGGTGTTAATTGCCTTATTGTTTGCAAAATAAGCTTCGTCCATGGCTGAAATTCAATAGACGGTAACCTAGAATTGTTATGATTGACTTGAATCGACCGTTCACCGCTACCCAATCTGATACTAACATTCTAGACCTTATTGCGAAAACATCAATCCTCCTGACGACGCTCTGTCTCCCTTTGCTCTTGGACTGGCTCAGGGTGCCTATCGTCAACGGCGCCATGTGCTAGTAGAATCTCCACGATTGATTCATGGCCTTCACTTGCTGCGGCTTGTAGCGCTGTTCCGAGTTCTTCGTGACTGGCGTTGACATCAGCTCCATGAGCCAGTAGCATTCTGACAATTGTTTCGTGACATCTTGATGATGCTGCCTGTAGAGCAGTTGCGTATCTTCCAAAACAAAATTTGAATTTATTGCCATGAAAACCAATGGTAGTTGTTATTGCTGCATGATCTTGTTCTAGTGCTCCCTGTAATATATTCTCGTTATCAAATTCACCATGAACACTGATATCAGGATCACAGTCTGTGAGAAGTTGTATCGATGTTTTCTGGTGCTTGACAGATGGTTTCTGTTGTGGAGTTCTGCCAAAAAATCCATTGCGAGTATTGGCATCAGCCCCATGGGCTAGCAGTATCTGTACTATTATTTCGTAGCCACTAGCTGATGCGGCTTGTAGTGCAGTTCCATATAACCCATCATAAACATTGACTTCAGCACCATGAGCCAGTAGTAGTTTTACTATCTCTTCATAACCTGCAGCTGATGCAGCCTGTAAAGCGGTGTCACCTCCCGTGTGATGAATATTAGCATCAGCACCATGGGCCAGTAGAATTTCTACTATTGCTTCATGGCCCCGAGCTGATGCAAGATGCACTGCAGTACGATACCATGTTTCGTCAGAGGTGTCGACACCAGCATCATGTTCTAAAAGAGTACCAGCTTCAGTCTCAAAGCTTTCATTTGATGCAAGCCGCGATGCGCTCCGCCATGAGCGACCTCGATTGTTGGCCTTGGCCTCTTCTTTGAGGAGCATGCGTACGATTGTTTCGTGACCTTCGTATGATGAAGCCTGGAGAGCGCTGTGGTAAAAACCGCCTGGTATATTGACATCAAGCCCAGTCAATATAAGCTCCTGTAAGATACTTGCTAGTCCTAGGTAGGAAGCACAGTATAGAGGTGATATATTTCCTTCCCCGAAATATAAGTAAGAGCCGCCCTTCTCATTCCTTGTAGGAATGATACCATGCAGAATAACCCAAGTGTCAAAGAGGCCGCTTTGATCTTTGAACAGTCGAACCACCAATTTTTCAATTTCATTTTCTTGATTTCGAGAGGCTTTGTAGTGATGGTACCAGTTCCTAGCAGCATATTGAGCCAGCGGGAAGTTAGATAGTCCAGTGTCTGATGATTTGGCACTGGACAGTGCAGGATTTAAGAGGTACACCAGGCAGACCTGGGCAACCTCCGCTTCTGCATCATCCGGGTTCAATGCGAAAATGGCTGCTTTCTGTTGCGTCACGCGGTCTAACTGAAGGTATTCTTGCACAGAGAAATGAGCAATTTGAACTAGCTGGGTCTCGATGCCTTTGTAGTCTTGATACACTGCAATCTCAATGAGCCCGGTGCAGATCTCCTGGAGACCGTCTATATCCAAAAATCGACCAGAATCCAGATGGGACGGCTCGTTCAGGTCAACCGCGTGCGCGTGGATTAGCTCGTCTACTGTCAGAGATTGGTTTGAAAAGCATAACATTGTCAAAATCCGCCGTATATCGTCGACATAATCTTTGTCAATGCTGTCGAGAATCCGCTCGTATGTCTCATCTAGGCTCCGTGGCAGTGAATGTAGATATCGGTACAAGTGGTTTCGATTCAACGCGCGTTTAAGTGCATCCAACTGAAGTTGGACATAGCGGAACCTACTTTAATATTAGTATTTTGATTTAGTAGAATCTGCATAACTCACACTCCTTGTGCGTGTGTTGTTAACGTGGATATGATCTCATCATACTGCCCTTTCCATTTACTGAATGCTGGGTTGTTGTTTAGTTGATAGTGAACGAAGCTCGCGATATCCTCGTCAATTCCGGTGTTCTTCATGGGAATGTCTTGATCACATGCAGGATCAAGAGATTTCCGAATATCGATCTCATTGCGACTGGTGACCAACAAGTGAAGGCCTGGGAAGCGCCACGATCGTATGGTCTCGATTGCTTCAAGAACCCCGTCTCGTTGATTGTATCGAGGACTCTCATCCAGTGCGTCAAGTAAGACGTATACGTGGTGAAATCGATTGATCATGCGCTGAAGATAATTAATCAAAGCTTCTGTTGGGGGAGTTCCAGAGTAGTAGGCTTTATATAGCTGTTCAAGGTCTTGAGCGCACTCTTCAAGCTGTCCAGAAAGCTGCAATAATAATGCACGTAGCATTCCCATACCATCTTGTTTGTTTTGGTCACTGAAGTCGAAGTAGAAAAATGCAATACCTACACGTTGCTCATACTGTTTTTCGCGCAACGTGTGTTGGATTGCAGTTGAGCAAAGTATCGACTTTCCACTTCCCGCAAAGCCGTGTAGCCAAATGAAGGAATTGGGCTTATTTAACCAAGCCGTAAAAGTATTTCCATTTATGAACCACAGTCCTGTTTTGCTGTGGCGCTTCATGCGAGCACTGTTATGATTGATAGTTGCGTCCGGCGCCTTGAGCCAGTCACGAATCTTTGAGGAAGTCTGGTTTACATCGATGCGTTCGACAAGCAATCTTAACCGGGATATCTTCTCATGAGTCGTTATGCTGCTCTTGTGCTGCAACGCACTAAGCGCAAATTTCAAGTTTTCCCGTATCTCGCCAACATCTTCTTGAAGTTTTTGCAACGTACTTGCTCGGAATGGGTAAGTCGCGCGACGGCTAGCAGTACGGATGCGATTCCCAAAGCCGCTGTCTGTGACTTTCTGAAACTTTGCATATTCATCTTGAAGCTCTATGATTATGTCCTCACTTCTCTCAATCGCCTTTGCAATGTGTTGAGATAACTCTTGTTCTTCGGGACAAGTCTGAGGGTTGCGTATTGCAGCATCCATAAATTGAAGAATATTGAAAATACTTTGGAGATCCTCTAGGGTTCGGCCAATTTCGGTATCTTGATTCTTGTGCGAATTGTAAAAATCGACCAGAGATTGAGTAACTTGGATACCGAACGAAAGTATTCCCACAGCTCCTGACGCAATGGACAATGGATCAGCCATGGTATGGGTTGATAACGCCGAGATTTTTTCAGCAGCTCGGCTCTCGATGATGTTAAATCAAAGGATAGTATTAAGTGGGGTTTTGGGGGTTCTTAATTGAGACAGCGTCGCTAGGTTTGTTTTAAATGGTGATTTGGACGGATGATGCGGGGCAATAGGCTTGTACCTCTGTATGCCCACTTCAGCCTCGCGCACAAACACATGTGTCATGTAGTAAAGCCTTGTTAGCTAACTAATAAGCTCTGGTTACAAGCACACATGCAACAACAATAACCAGCTGGTGTTTATAGAAAGAGTTGCATCATCCTCGATCTTATCTTCGTTTCCGGGATCCTTCAGAGTCACTATCTCAGCTTTTGTCATGCTCGTTTCAACGGATTCGAAGGAGGAGGCGTGTAGTGGAGCGTCTGCGAGGCTGAAGGGGGGGTGCAAAGGAGAAGATCTGTGGGCTGGTGTTAATCGGCATGCTGGAAATTCCGAAAGATATTGGTCAAGTGGTAGGCTATGGATTCCAAGTGATAACCAGATGGCCAAGTAAAGACTGGTGACCTACTTCCAATAGATAGCATCATCTTCTACATTCTCTGGCAAATATTCTGGCCACGAGTATATCATTCAAAGAAGTCATGAAACTGACAACATCCTCTGTGAAAGATGGTGGTAAGGTGGTGAAGAGAATGAAGACTAGGGGAGATGGGGTTCACAAATAGTCGAATGGGTTCTCCTTATAGAAGAGCGAAGTAGAGAATGATATTAAAGCCACTTAGGGACTGGGTCAGATCATATAGGGCAACTGCCTATTGATAAATAATTTGAGTAGGTGATATTGTGAAGGTTATTTTTTGGTGGTTGTAAATATACTATGGATGGGTTTGGGTTGAAACAAGAAGGTTAGGGTTACATATATATTTTGGTAAACCACACACAAAAGCCATTGAAATAGTGAAGACTATATATATAAGTAGCATCAATAGAGAACGTATATCTGCAAACAAATTCTCCTGCTCTATATGTAACAGTTCAAATAAACTCCACAGACAAAGATGCGCAGTGAAGAATGCCTGAGCATTTCCAGGCCAAGCAATGATTTATCATGTAAAACCCTGACTATCACCAGCCGCAATTACAGACAAAACAAAAAAAAAAGCAAACCCCACCTAAACAAGAGAATATCAATTCCAAAAGAATCTCTCAGGATAAAACCTTCAATATCATGTTGCTGTCAAGTTTATGGATAGATATCAAGAACATAGGCTCTACAAATAAGATATACGTTTACGAGCATTTTGTACATAAAGCAAAAATACACTTACTAATTTCAACAAGGCGGTGGTAGTCTAGTGGTTAGGATCCGACCCTCCCATCTCATCGAGAAAGTCCGACGGACGGGCAAGGTCGGGACCCGGGTTCGAATCCCGGCCATCGCATCTCTTTTTGTTTTTCTTTACTTCTATCTATCTACCCCTTCTCTTCCTTTTTGCATGCAGTCCATTGCAAACCTAGTAGGATGCTTACACTTTTTTTTCTGTTCTTCTTTTTCTTATGATATTTTCCCCTGCCTTTCTATACAGATCTATAGAGTATATTAACCTGCGTCGAGAAACCCCTATGGATTGTCACTGTTCGCCGTCAGCAATGTAAACCACGCTATTTAATAGGCATCTTTGTGCTGAGCGCCGCCTCAACCTAAGTTCTTCTACCATGATTAATGGGATCCCGCATTGGAGACTCTTCCGATCATCCCACCGGTCTACTCGCATCCTGGTTTAGATAGGGGCAGCATCAACAACACTATACACTAGATACTCTACAAATATACTCAGTATTTAAAAGCACCGTACTATCAATAGCCATCAAAGATTCATCTTCCCTAGAACCCTCTACCGGCTTCCTCCACTGCGTCAGCAGCGCCGCGCCCAGAAAGCCATCGACACGCTCAACACTTTCCGCGCGTCGGCAGTCTTCCACCCGGACATTGCATATAGGGTTGATAGGGCGGACTAGGGGGGATATGTTAGCTGGAGAAGGAGCTGGTGGACGTGCAGCCGTCTATAGGGAAGCCATAGCACCCATGTCTGCTCGTCTGACTTCGTATTGTTTGGCCTGGCGATTATGGATTTTTGGGTTGCTTTCAGGTTCTTTTCTCTGGCACGTGTAAAATGCAATTTATGTCTCCAATGTTTATGGACCCTGTCATGGCTGTGATCTTAATTGTAGTCTGGTGGTGACCCAAAAAGGATGTCGGTATAGCGCGAGAGACGGCTTGCCTGCGGGGGGTGAGGTTTGTCCAATTGCATGATATGGTTGATGTTATTCGCTGCTACATAGGTGAAATGTGAAAGGGCAATCAGTTAGTTGGTCGAAGCGCACGACCTAGGGTTCTCTGTTGGGGTGTTTGATCGGCGGGTGATGGGAAGTCGGGATGCAGGTGGGAGGGCGAAGGTCATACGGGCGTTGAAGGGGAAGGCCTGGCGAACATTGAGATTACTTTTTAAGTTGTACCGCCGGTAGTCAACTATATTTTTCTTTTGACAGGGAAATCAAGAAAAATCTAGGCCTCTTGTTTTTGATGCTGTATCGGGATCGCAGGCCGATTAACGGATGTCGGGCCGGGATTAGGGCTCGCTGATCCCGTGCCCCTCACTCCTTTATCATCGTCGGATTCTTTTTTCAACTTCACTTCTACATCATCACATATTACAGAACTTCAGATATTGAAAATATGTCAGCCCTCAACAAGACCCTCTGCATCCTCGGCTGCGGTATGTTCGCTCACAAGCAGCAAGATAAACAATCCTAATAATGCTGTATCAGGCAATCTCGGCACCGCCATCCTCACTAGTCTCATCAAAAGTCCCCCAACCAACCCGTTGACCAAGAGCCCCATCTTTACAAATGTTATTGCCTGCGTTCGCAGCGTTGCCTCTGAAAACAAACTCAAGCAGAGCGTGCCGCAATCTCCCCACATCTCCACCACAACCACAACCGACACCCCCCCACTATCTGCAGTCCGCTCCTCCTCAGTAATCATCCTGGCCATCGACCCAGCAGACATCCAACAAACACTCACTCAACCTGACCTTGCCTCCGCCCTCTCTGATAAACTCCTCATCAGCGTCGCTGCAGGCTGGACCCACGACCAACTAGCCAAAACCCTCTCTCCCCACACAGCCCGCATCATACGCACTCTTCCCAACATCACCGCCCAGGTATCCGAATCTCTCACTGCAATCGAAGACACCCCGTCCTCAACAGCTTCCCCAGCCGACAAATCCCTCACAGACGCCATCTTCGCCCGCATCGGCCGCACCGTCCACGTCAAGCCTGCTCACATGGACGCCATAACCGCCGTCGGTGGCTCCACCCCTGCCTTCTTCGCCGTCATATGTGACGCTATGATCGACGCCGCTGTCGCTGTCGGTCTCCCCCGTGAGGTTGCTCAGATCGCTGTCTTTCAGGCTATGAAGGGCTCTGCGGCCATGATGCAGAGTGGGATCTTGCCTGCGGCGCTGCGAGACCAGGGAACCTCGCCTGAGGGGTGCACGATAGCGGGCGTGATGGTATTAGAGGAGAAGGGTGTGCGGGGTGGTGTTGGGCGGGCAGTTCGGGAGGCTGTCTCTGTAGCGAGGTTGATGGGGGATGGGGGGCATGTTAATGATACTCGGAGGGAGTAATATTGCTATTATTGTAGTACTACTCCACTTTTCATTGTTTCTGCTGCCTCATCTAATAAACACTTATTTAATCATTTCTGTACGATAGCTTTTGAGGGCTGAGAAGTTAGGGCTTTCCAATCAGGTAATTGGATCCGTCTGGTATCTTATCCGATTATCGCGTATCAGCATAGTATAAAATACAATATCAATACCCGGACCGGTAACGAACCCGGCTACGGCATGCTTCCCGGTCAGTTCTTTGCTGTAGTTTGTCAGTACGGCCTGGTAACCTTTGGTAAATCATGGTATGGATAGGTTGATCTGCCGTATCCTGTACTTCAACAATCACTGTGGGGAATCATATCCCCTCACGAGTTCCCCTCATCTTCTCCAAGAGGTATTGCAGGGACTGAACTTATTTCTTTGGATATTTTAGTTTCCAGCATTTGCTTTTACGAGAACCTGTCGTTTGGAGCATCAATCCATCATGGCGAGCACCGCTGGAAAAGTATGGTCTCATCCATTGTGTGTATACATGAGCCCGCACTAACACATTATCACATCCAGACAATCACCTGCAAGGTTCGACCAGTCCACCGCACTAAGATCCTACAATACATGTGCTGATAATTTTCACAGGCAGCTATAGCCTGGTCCCCAGGAGAGGACCTCTCCGTCGAAGACGTGCAAGTCGCTCCGCCTAGAGCCCACGAAGTGCGCATCAAGATCCTCCACACGGGAGTGTGCCACACAGGTAGGTGAACCAACCCACAGCAGTCAAATACAGACTTTGATGTTCGTCTATCTCCAGATGCATACACCCTGTCCGGAAAAGACCCTGAAGGCGCTTTTCCCGTTATTCTGGGCCACGAAGGCGCTGGCATCGTCGAGTCTGTTGGCGAAGGCGTCACCAGTGTGAGCGTTGGAGACACTGTCGTCGCATTATAGTATTCTCCTCTCTACCTTCCTTTTTGAAATCTAAGTGAACACAACACTCACTAACAGATAAAAGCACCCCCGAATGCCAAACCTGCAAATTCTGTCTCTCAGGCAAAACCAATCTATGCGGAAGTATCCGCACCACCCAAGGCCGCGGCGTCATGCCAGATGGAACATCCCGCTTCCGGGCCCGCGGCCGCGACATCCTGCATTTTATGGGGACGTCCACGTTCGCGGAGTACACTGTTGTGGCGGACATTTCGGTGGTTGCTGTCACCCCGAAGTGTCCGACGGACCGGGCGTGTCTGCTGGGGTGTGGGATCACGACGGGATACGGCGCGGCGACTGTCGTGGCTGATATCCGCAAGGGGTCCAACGTTGCGGTGTTCGGGGCGGGATGTGTCGGGCTGTCGATTGTGCAGGGGGCGGTGCGGAACGGAGCGGGGCGGATCATTGTCGTGGATATTAATAAGGATAAGGAGGAGTGGGCGAGGCGGTTTGGGGCTACGCATTTCTTGGATCCTGTGCGGGTGGTTGCTGAGTCGAAGATGAGTATTCAGGATAAGCTGGTGGAGATGACGGATGGGGGGTGCGATGTTACGTTTGATTGTACGGGGAATGTGGGTGTGATGAGGGCAGCGCTGGAGGCGTGCCATAAGGGGTGGGGGGAGAGTATTGTGATTGGGGTTGCCGCTGCTGGGCAGGAGATTTCTACCAGACGTATGTTTGACCCGATTTTCCCCTTTCTCTGTACGGCTTTTGCTTTTGATGTCTTGGGTTGTATTATTGTTGGATTGCTCGCTGACATGAAGTTTTAGCATTTCAACTGGTGACGGGCCGCGTATGGAGGGGATGCGCGTTCGGTGGCGTCAAGGGCCGGTCTCAGCTACCGGACTTGGTGAATGATTATTTGAAAGGAGATCTCAAAGTGGACGAGTTCATCACGCACCGAGAAAAGCTGGCGAATATCAATGCTGCGTTTGCGCATATGAAAAAGGGGGATTGTATTCGGTGTGTGGTTGATATGTCTATCTAATTATAGTCTAGCGACCTTGTCAACAGATGCAATTGGCGGCGGTCTTTGCTAGTTAACAACTACTTATCTCATACTAAGACGAGATAGGTGAAGCTGAGGCAACAAGCTGTTTTGCTGTTGATCTGTCCTGGCAGTTTGAGCTGTTCCAACTGGACATACTCCTTATCCTAGAATCCACGAGGTAGAGCTCGGCGCCGGACCAGGGTACAAGAAAAATAGTATTGGAAGACAAGGTTGATTGATACTCAGGCACAAGATATGAAATACAGAACAAAGGAAAACGATCACCATTTAACACTTGATCCCCAGACAAATCCCATCTAGCAGCTGCATCCGCAAGTGTCGCAGCCACCAGTCGCGCAGGCAACCTTGTCAGCCTCATCGCTGGCCGGGTTGCAGTCTTCGGCGGTGCCGCAAGTCTTCCAGGAACCGGTGCCATTCTCGTAGGCGCTCCAGCACCACTCGCCACCCTGGCCGCAGGTCTTCCAACAGTAGCCGTCCTTGGAGCAGCCGTAGGGCTGGCGGGCGCATTCCTTGCCACGGGCCAGGATGCTGCCACCGCCGGTGGCGGCGGAGACGGCCGCGGTGGCCTGGAGGGCGATGGCGAGGAGACCGAGGTTGAGCTTCATTTTCTAGGTTGTATTAGTTGGGAGGTGTTGCTGAGGTGGGCGTTTTGGTGAGGGACTCACGGATAGACGTAGCTTGGTTGGTTGAATTGATTGAGTATGATGGTATAGAGATTGGGATAAGAAGATAGAGGCTTGTGAGTTGATGAGAACGAAATCGGGGGAACTTA